AATGCTCTCCCGGCTCCATGCTGGAGTAACTCCTAATCAGACCTCAGGTCTCATTACATTATGTGGCCTCAGAGAGCTCTTCCCTGTTCTCTTGCCGTGTAAACTAGGGCCCCCCTGTCTTTTGTCCTCTCCCAGCAGACTGATTCCTTCTAAGCACACACAGCAATTTCTAATGGGGATTTTTACCTCTTTTATATGTGTAAAGTTTCTTTCTTCCTCTAGAAGTAGTTCCATGACTATCTTGTTCACTCCAAGCCCTGGCACACAGGAGGGCTGGATAAAAATTGTAGAATGAATGAATGGAGTGAGTCAGTGTCAGAATAAATGTTAGTTAAGGCCCTGGTGAGGGCAGGGTGGAAAAGTATTTGGGAAATAGTTTACGGCTAACAGGGAACCACCCTGAACAGGTTGGAAAGGGGGAGGGTCCGATGGGGAGGTAGCAATGGGTTCCGATTCATTTCCCTAATGGGTACTGCATTGCAGGTGCCTGCCAGGTGTTGGGGAGGAGAATGCAAACCTGAGTAAGACTGTATCCCCGAGGCACCCTGGACTCCTTCTGTCCACAGCCAAATGAACAGACAGGGACTTTTGCGGGGAAATAAAGCAGCAACCACCAAGGCCAACGGGAGATGCTTATGAGGCCCGAGGGGTGGAAAAAGAGGGGATTGTGCCGAGACTGGCCCCTGCGTTTGGAGGAGCGACCCCAGGGAAGCTCTGGGGCTGGTTTTGCTCCTGCGGACAAGAGTCAGGGTGCAGGGTCGCCCAAGCCGGGCGGGACCTCCAGGCCGCGCCACCCCCGCCCGCCGGTCCCTTGGCCGGAGAACTCGGCCCGAGATGCCGCAGTCGGAGGCCGGCGCCGGCCGCGCGCAGTAACAGGTCCCCTGGCCGCGCCCACACTCACCCTGAGCTGCCTTGGAAGCCGAGCGCGTCCTCCACAGCCGCCGGGTGGCCTTCCACGGCCGCAGAGAAGAAAACAGCCTCCGGCTCTTCTTGCCGCCCTTCTCAGTTGCTCCCATCTGTGCGCCCGCGCCCCTCCCCCGCCGCCGCCCGAGGGTCGCCTCCTGCCTCCCCCGCCGCCGCGCGTCTGCCAGGTGCCGGGCAGTCGCCGGGGTAGACGCGGCCGCCGGGGGAGGAGCTTGCGGCCGGGGAGGGGGGAAGGGGAGGAAAGCAAGGGAGGGAAGAGGGGAGGTGGGGACAGCTGCTCTGGCGGCGCCCGCCTGGGTGCGGCCCGGCCCAGGCGTGGGTGCCAGTGTGATGAGCTAGCCGGGGAAGCGCTTAGCGCCAGGCAGCTCTACAGGTAAATGCTTTAACCGTTCGTCCTTCGCTCAGGAGGTGTCGATGGAGTGCCCAGGTACTCCTAGGCATCATTAATTAACAGAAAGATCCCAAGGGGTGTGCACTTGATTTTGTTCCCAAATCACAAGGATGAAACGGAAACTCCAAGAGATTAAGTGATCTGCCCAGAGATCACAGAGCTGCTAAATGGTACCGATTCCCAATTGCTGGGCTCTGACTATATTTTTTCATGTCTTACTACTGCCTCAGAATGATCCCACATTATGTTAGGTTTTTGTTTGTTTGTTTGTTTGTTTGTTTGTTTAAGTCTGGCAGATATTTCTATTTTCCTCATACAACAGGTTATGATCACTCATGATTTTTTGGGAACCTATCCTATGTCCGGGCATTTTTACATACATCCCATTAAACCTCACAACACCTCTTGGGGGTGGGAGGCATTTTCCCATTTTCCAGATAAGGAAACAAGTGGCACAGCTGAGGTTGCCTTCATTCCCTTCATTTTGTCTCTGTCCTGATTTTGCTTGCAATTGGGAGAGTCTGAGAGGAAGATCAAAACCAAAGTTTCTTGCCTAGCTGCAATAATAACAGCTAATGTTTGTGGGGTGCTTTTCATGTGCCAGATTTTACACACGTTGCCTTATTTAACTCTCCCAATAATACTCATGGGAGAAAAAGTGTTAATATCCACGCTTAATAAATGGAGGACACTGATCATTAGAGAAGTCAGGTTACACATGTAAAAACCTCAATAAAGGTTATATATTAGGTTGAATCATGAAATTGACATTTTTGTAGGCCCAAACAAATATTATAGAATAGCTTCACCAGATGATCAAAATTAAAATCACCAGTGGAGGCAGATGAAAATCCAGTACCTCCAGATGTATTACACCAAGAAAGACATATCACCTTTGTAATATTTTGGTCAAGAATGTACCACCTGAATCTAATCATAAGGAAATCCAAGATAAACTAAAAATGAGGACTGAGCTATTAGAGAGGATATTGTATTGTTCAAAAGTACAAATGGCATAAAAGATTTAAAAAAAAAAGACTGTGGAGATGTTCTAAATTAAAGGAGGGTAAAGAGACATGGCAACTAAATGTAATGCCTGACCCTAAACTGGATCCTGTGTTGGAATTTTTTTAAAAGACTGTAAAGGACATTACTAGATTAATTTTCAAAAAAAAAATGAATATAGATAATAGATTAGATAAGAATGTTTGTAAATGATAAATTTATTGGAGTTGATAACTATATTGTGGTTATGTAAGAAAATATCCCTATTTTTAGGAGATATATATTAAGGAATTTAGGAATAAAGGCCCATGATGCATTAACTTAGCTTTAAGTTGTTTAGTAAAAAGGATGCGTGTGTGTGTGTAGGGTCGAATGATAAAGAAATACAGTAAAATGTAAATAATAGGTGAATCTAGATAAAGAATATGTTTTGTACTGTTTTTATTCTTGCAACTTTTCTGTAAGTTTGAAATTTATTCCCAAGTAAAATGATAAAATATTTAAGTTCTACAAAAAAAGAAAATAAAGTGGTAAAAATCACTCTACTTGATATTAAAAAGCCTACTATAAAGCTATAGTTATCAAAACAGTATGGTGTTGTCAGAGGCATAAACACAAAAATCAATGAAACAGAATAAAGAACCCAGACATAGACCCACATAAATATGCCCAACTGGTTTTTGACAAAAGTGTAAGAGCAATCCAATGGAGGAGAGAGAGCTTTTTCAGCAAATGGTGCTAGACTGATTGGATATCCATTGGCAAAAAAATGAACCTTGACCTAAACCTCACGCTTTAATACAAAAATCAAGTCAAAATGATTGCAGACTTAAATGTAAAAGGTTTGGGGGTGGGGGAGGAATAGTAGAAAATCTAGAATCTAGAGCTATGCAAAGAGTTCTTAGACTTGTTCCCAAAAGCACAATCTATAAGAGGAAAAACTGATAAATTAGACCTTATCAACATTAAATACTTTTGTTCTGTGAAAGCCCCTGTGACTGGACGAAAATACAAGCTACAAACTGGGCCAAAAATACTTGCAAACCACATATCCGACAAAGGACTAGTATTTATAATATAGAAAGAACTCAAAACTCAACATTAAAAATAAACAATCCAATTAGAAAATATGGAAAAGACATGAACAGATATTTCACTGAAGGAGATATAAAGATGGCAAATAAGCACATGAGAAGATATTCAGCATCATTAGCCACTAAGGAAATACAAATTAAAACCATAATGAAATATCACCATATACCTATCAGAACCGCTAATATAAAAAATAGTGACAACACCAAAATGCTAGCAAGGATGTAGAGCGAGAGAGAGAAATTAGATCACTCATACATTACTGGTAGAAAGGTACAGCCACTCTGGAAGAGTTTAGCAGTTTCTTACAGAACTAACCACATAACTACTATAAGACCAGCAATTGCATTCTTGGGTACTTATCCCAGAACAAAAAGAAAACATATACACACAAACAATATACACAAATGTTCATAGCAGCTTTGTTTGTAAGAGTCCAAACCTGGAAACAACCCAGATGTCCTTTAATGGGTGAATGGTTAAACAAGCAGTGGTGCATCCATGGATGGAATACTACTCAGCCATAAAACAATAACAAACCTCTGACACCGACAACAAACTACATGCATCTCCAGGGAATTATACGAATAAAAAAAGCCGATCCCAAACATTGTATACCGTATGATTCCATTCATATAGCATTCTTGAAATGGCAAAATTAAAAAAATAGAGGACAAAATTATAAAAATATCAGGTGGGAGGGAGCTAGATATGGCTATGAGAGGACAACAGGAAGGATCCTGTGGTGATGGAACTGTTCTGTATCTTGAATGTATCAATGTCCATATACTGATTGTGATATTAGACTATATAGTTTTGCACGTTGTTACCATTATGGGGCGATTAGTAAAAATGTACACAGAATCACTCTGTATTATTTTTTTTCAATGGCATGTAAATTTATAATTATTTTAAAAATTAAAATGTTAACTTTTTAAAAAGTTACATGTCTGTAATTTTGTATAGTTCACTCCAATATCTAAAATGTTGTTGAGCCAAGATTTAACCTAGACCCATAACTTCATGGCTACACTACCTTTCTCATGGCCCCTGGCTCACTGTGGGAGGCCAAGGATCATCTGCCAGGTCTCAGGGAGGAGGCATGGAGGACTTCAAAAGATAATGGGAGCACAGAGACCCAGGTCAGTCAGGGAGGGCTAAATTATTCTCCTGTTTGGAATGAGTCCCTTCCTGGTCTAGATAAGTGACTCTGTAAAAGTAAGTATGGGACAGCTCTATTTTATTCTTTCTCTAATCCAGAGGAATATGAAGATGTAAATATGAAATAAAAAAGGGAGGTGACAGAGACTGAAAAAAGGGTGGAAATAAAATTTTCTTTTATGCCAACCTTTATTCTTCAAGGCATCCAGACTAAAGTCTGAAAAATAGGCCCTTAGAAGAAATAACCTAATCAACAATGCTACCCAGGAATAGCTGTCACATACCACCAACTAATACCCTAGACAAAGGCTGCCCTCTGTTCCTGGGACTTCTTAGCTGTCTTTGGGGTTAGGATACCTAGAATTTTGTCCTGGTTACACAAACCACCCCTGAAATATAGGTTCCGTCCCTTCCTCTCCCGGCTTAGTATTTTAATCACCACCACCACCTCCACTCACATTAATGGAGGAGATTAAAAAAGATGACATAGAAGTTTTTTTCCAGGGTTTCTCACCATCCTTCCCTGTATGTCCTGACTCCCTAACTGGTTCTGGAATACTGCTAAGCGTTAGTAGCCCCAGTGGGCCTGGCTGAGAGACTCACCTTTTCTTCCATTGTCCTGATACATCCAGTGGATCAGAATACCTCCTTGGAGGGGCCCACTTGCTCACTACTTAGACTTCACTAGTCAGGGCAGGATGAGAAAAACATTCTTTGGCTTGCCCTTTTAGTCCAAACATCATGTGATTTCATGGCTCTTCTCCAACCTGGAGCTTTAACAAGGCCAGAAGTCTCTGGCTCCCACAGTCATGGCTTGCTCCAGGCACATCCAGCAGTCTCTGGTGTCCACGGGAAAAGAATGAAGCCTGAGAGAAGATCTTCCGCCCAAGCAGAAATACCCAAGTGCCCTCAGGCACATCCATGAGCACTAGCAACAAGGAATTTCTTTTCAAATGTCAAAAATGGAAACAAATAAGCCCACTTATTTGTCTATCTGGCTCACTGGACAGAGGAGAAAAATAAAAAGAAAAAAATCCTTTGAATTTCATTCATGTCATTGTGCTTATGAAGTTGAGTCCAGAAATATGAAACTGACAGTTTTCAAAGTGAATGAGATAAAAGATTCTCCTGTGCATGTGCATGTGCGTGTGCGTGTGCATGTGTGTGTGTGTGTGTGTGTGTGAGAGAGAGAGAGAGAGAGAGGGCGGAGGGTGGGGCGCTAACAGAGTTTTCAGCTATGCAGAGCTGAGTGGAATCCTGGCTCTGCCATTTACTAACTGTGATTTTACTCAGCTTGCCTAACTTCTCTCAGTCTCAGTTTCCCCATCTGTAAAATGAAGATAGTAAATAATACCTACCTCACAGGGTTGTGATAAGATTTACTATTATATGTAAAGCACTGAGTAGGTTCAATAAATGGTAGCTTATTATAATACTATGTCCGTTTAGAGAGACAGTTACAGATAAAAAACAATGGCACCTTCTTTTGCAACGAGTGTGTGTGTGTGTGTGTGTGTGTGTGTGTGTGTGTGTGTGTGTGTGTGTGTGT